TTATCCTCTTTGAAAAGTTGCAGCTTGTCTTGGGCTTGCCCACCATAGAGCATAGTTTTTACTGGGTGTATATGCTTTTTAAGGCAGTATTCTAAATGAAGCGCCAACATTCGTGAGAACACAGAGTACAGCCTTGGGTTTACAATGCTTGTTAATTCATCTGAATCAGGGGAGTAACAGAGTCCTTCCCAGAAATAACCTGTCATTGAAAAATGCAGGAAATTTCTTGTTCTATAAAATGAAGGGAGAAGTCCAAACCCTTTTTTAGAGATGAAAGCTTTCTTTTTTTCAAACAAACAAACAAAAAATCACAGAGTATTACGTGGAACACAAATATATACAATAGATAAAAACTGAGCCACATCAAATGAAAGGAGAAAAGGGGAGACTTTCCTGGTCCCTGCAAGGAACTTAAGGCATGTTGTCAAAATCTAAGGCTCCCCTGGGCTCATTCTAGAGGCCATGGGACCAGACAATTTCTACAGCGGGTGTCAACCTCTAATTTATGAGGATTTTTTTAAAGATTTTATTTATTTATTTGACAGAGAGAGAGAGAGAGGGAACACAAGCAGAGGGAGTGGGAGAGGGAGAAGCAGGCTTCCTGCTGAGCAGGGAGCCCGATGTGGGGCTCGATTCCAGGACCCTGGGATCACGACCTGAGCCAAAGGCAGGCGCTTAATGACTGAGCCACCCAGGCACCCCTAATTTATGAGGATTTTAAAGATTTATTTATTTACTTGAGAGAGAGAGAGAGCACAGGGGAGGGGCAGAAGCCAAGGGAGAGAGAGAATCTCAAGCAGACTCCCTGCTGAGCACGGAGCTTGACACAGGGCTCCATCTCAGGACCCTGAGATCATGACCTGAGCTGAAATCAAGAGTCGGATGCTTACTCGACTGAGTGAGCCATCCAGGCACCTGGTTTTTGGTTTGTTTGTTGTTGTTGTTTGAGGATTCTAAATCCCAGTAATATTAAGAACCTGAACTGCTGAGCTTGTAAAGAGGAATTTACCCAGAGTCGTAATTCATTTTATATGCTCTCTTATCTTATCTATGTTATCTGGAAAACCTCTGACCATCTCCTCTCTTCTTATACCTACAACCCTCATTGAAGGTCACAGAACACTCCAATTCACAATCGCCATATTCCTTTTTACCTTCCTCTTCTTTATTAGCATTACCATCATCATCATCATCATCATCATAGTAAATATTTACAGAGCACCTAGTAGAGTTGTTTCCCCCTAATCCATGGGGTATACGTGAGTTCCAAGACCCCCACTGGATGCCTGAAACTGTGGACAGTACCCAGCCTTATGCAGACTATTTTTTTTCCCGATACGTACATACCTAGGATAAAGGTTAATTTGTAAATTAGGCAAAGTAGGAGCTTAACAACAATTATTAATAACATGGAACAATTATAACAATAGAGTTTAATACAAGTTCTGTGGTCTCTCAACATAGCTTGTTGCACTGTACTCAGCCTTCTTCCTGAGATGCTGTCAGATGATAAAATGTCTACATGATGAGATTAGGTGTTGTGATGTCTGTTAGGCAGCTAGTGACCTGACGATACTTCAGGAGGAGGACCATCTGCTTGCGGACGGTGGTTGACCGCAGGTAATTGAAGCCATGGAAACCGTGGAGAAGGGGGACTATTGTATGTGCCCAGTGTAGTATTAGCTCATTTAATCCTTGCAACACGACAGCTATATTATTATTCACATTTTAGACATGAGAATAGATAGCTATTTTATTGTGAGATAGCTATATTATTATTCACATTTTAGAGATGAGAATACTCAGCACAGAGATGTAATTTGCCACCTGAAAAAAGGCAAAGGTGAAATTTAAGTTCCTGACGGTCTGACTGTAATCTCCTTGGGCAATAGCCAAAGGCTAAACCATCTTGTTTATCGGTGGGTGTAATTCCTAGAGGTTGACTTGTCTTTCTCCCCAACTAATTTTGTGCTGGCCAAAGGATAGATTATGGGCTTTGTGGATGGATCTTGATTTTATGATCCACAGCCTTTCTGAAGCTCTAGGTATTGGGCAAATTTGTGAAGTTGGTACTTTTCAGGTTTCAGGAACATAGCCCCTCTCTTAAAAAAAAAAAATACTTTTTTTTTTTGTTTCTTGGTAGAAACCCCTTCTGCCCATGTCAGGCAATCAGCCTTCTCACATTTTCTCTATACTTTGCTCTATTAAAAACAAAAACAAAAAGCACAAAAAGCACTCATGAGTTCATTGGCCCTAATGTGTAATCAGCTGCTATAAATTAGAAGCATATTTGCATCTTAAAAAGTCATAAAGCCTAGTAAGTGACTCCTTAGTGGTGAAATTTCAGAGGACATTATTTTAGACTGGGGTCTTCCTCATATCTTGGCTTCAGGTAAACCAGTCTGTCCAATTTCCTTCTTTTATATCTCAACTCCTCAAATCACCTATTTTATTCTAACTGCTTTTATTTTCTGGCTTCTGGCTATTCTTCCCCTAGTCCACTGAAATTAAAAACACAAAAAACATGATCACTAAATCCAGTGGTCTTTCATTCGAATGCTTTCTCTTTCATCTTTTTATGGCATTAAATTTTTTTATCATTCCTTTTGCACTGAAAAACTATTCTACTGAGATTTATGCAACACTATACTTGCTTAGCTACCCTCCCACTTCTCTGTGGAATCATTTTTTTTCCTCCTTTAAAAGCTTTTCTTCTTTTGATCTCCTAATAGTGTGAATTCTTCAGGCTACTACTTGAGCAAATAGTACCCATATTTAAAATTGCCACTGGTGCCCCATTATTTATACCTTCCCAAAGTTTGATGTATGAAACAGTGTTCCCACAAGACGGCGTTAAAGAAATGAACACCCAGGAGGCACGATAGATGCTCTTCTTGCCTGTGTGTTCTAAAGGCTATAAAATTAAATATTCTCTTTCATGATCTTACTTCCAGATGGAGTGACCATGTAACACAAGTCTGGCCAATAAGGCATAAATTAAAGTCTGTTGACCCTTCACCCTTCCTCCTGTTTTTGACATAGACTTGAAGCAGGAACTGCAGTGGACAACCTGTGATTTTGAGGGAAAAGCAAAGTGATTTGCAGAGATGCCAGCTTCTACATTGCAGAGCACTGAATGTTCTACCTTCTGAATTCTTGTTAAGTAAGATGAACGAATCCCTATTTGTTTGGACTGCCATAATCAGGTGATTTATACCTAGCAGCTGACCATACTAGAACTAGATATAAAATTGCAAACTACGATATGTTCCTCTTAGAACTTCAGAAGGCAGAGTAGAATATTAAAAAGAAGAAATCTATTTAATTTTGTTCAATAGATCATCTCCTAAACTCATTTGATCAAGGAGCCCTTTGCTTCCTGTATTATTACAATCCCACAGAACTCAGTTTCCTACACCGTTGCTTCAAAGTGTGATCCCTAGACCAGCCACATCTGCACCATCTGAAAACTTGTTTAAAAACCAGAACCTTAGGCCCCAGCCCCAAATCAAAGTCTACATTTTCATAAGACTCCAGGTAATATGTGTGACATTAAAGGTTGAGAAGCACTGCTTCAGGAAACACTGGTTAGAGGATAAAGTACAACTAAACTTTTTTTATGTGACCTATTATTCAAGATATCTGTTATTATTGTCCCTGAATGCCTGCTTCACTTAATAATCACATAGTTCTCATTCACTGCTTACTTTGCGCAAGGCATTATTTGAAATACTTGTATAATCCCCAACCTAACCCTGTGAGGCAGATACTATCATAATCTTCATCTTACAGATGAAATAGCCGAGGCTCAGAGAAGTTAAGTAGCTCACCCAAGGTCACATAGCTATCAGGTGGCAGAATCCTTGGTTTAAGGACTTAAAGATCACTAAACTCCATTGCCTCTCTAACCTGTTTGTTTTTCCCATACTTTCCTACTTTGTGTACTTTATACAAGGTTTCCCTTAGCCTGCAATGATCTTCCACATGCACCCGGTTTAAAAATCTCAGTCAAAAATTTAGTTCTTCCAGGAAGAGTTTTTGATCCCCTCCCACCAAGCCAGGTCAGGTCCCCTGCTATACCTTCCCCAGGACCATATTTTTCCTTTATACTTACCAGCTTTTAAAATTATTTATATTTTTCTGATTAGTTCATGTCTTGATTTAAAAAACGAGCTTCACTTGGGCTTGAACAGTTGGCATCCAAATATTTAGACTCTCTTGCCTTTATTCATACTTTTGCTCTCACTTGAAAGGTTCTCTCCCTCCACCACACCTATCCAAGTCCTATCCATAAGAAGCTATAGCACGGTAGCAAAACATTGGATTTGGGATCAGAATTTGAGTCTGAAATTGGAGTTGAATCCTGTTCCCTGGCTTACTAGCTTTGTAACTTTAAGCAGTCACAGAATCTCAGATCAACAAATGTTCAGCTCTGTTATCGGGGTGGGGGGTAACAATACCTCACAAGACTGGTGTACGGATTAAAATGAGGCTTTCGAAAGAAGTGTGAACCTACACAAACATCCTAAAAATACAGGGTAATGTTTTATAGTAATTAAGACCCTAAATTGTGTTTATGAGTTCCAGCTCCGTAGTCAGAGATCTAAGTTCAAATCCTAACTCATATTTGTTGTCTATGCAGTTGCTTTGGCAATCTGTTATTTACCGGATTTTTTCATGTGTGTTTTCAACTGCATGTGTACTTAATTTAACACGTATTTACCCAAGACATGTTATATATTCTGTGCTTTTTATTTTTTGTTCAACATAAGCGCTTCTCATAACGTTCTGCACATAGGAATTCAATAATCTATATTTATTTGAAGAATACACATATTTGCTGCACTGACAGTGCATTGCGTAATCAAGGTAAGTAGGAATGAAAAGTAGTACACATAACAATTACCATCATCTATAAGCCCGTGTATGTGCAGAGGTGCTATTTTTCAAATCACGTTAAACCTAGATGAATTACAGCAAGAAAGCCCACCAGGGAAAATTTAAATAATATTTGGAATAAAATCATTTGGCCTAATTTTCATAACCACAGATTGCAGCGAATACCACCATCCATGCCAGGTATGCCAGACAATCCCATTGTCCGTTTTAGCCACGTAGGGGCCGCGGTAGTATAAGCCATTCAGGTTTGCGGAGTGACACCTAGTGGGAAGAAAAATAAACACAAAACAGTCAGACTAGAAAAATCGCCTTCCTATAAAACCCTTTTTTATTGGCTCGCAGATGATAAAAACAAAAAACATTTTGACTATGAATCCTGCCATTTTTCAGACAAGAGAATATTGATTAATTTACCCAGTCTCAGGATACAACCCAGGTCACCTGTAGTGTCCTGTAAAAAAAGCATTTCTGCTCTTAATCGCTTTTACACAGAAAAAGGAAAAACAAGCAAACAAAAACATGACCTCGTCGCCGTGGGCCTTTGCAAGCAGGGTCAACAAAACCAGGTGTGGCAACGTGCCCTCTTGCCATCTTCCCTGGATCATTTGCTCGTATGTGTTCATCCATCTGCTGCCAAGACTTAGCTTTTGCACTGCAAACTCCCTTCCTCCCCTTTTTAAAAATTGCCAGCATGTTCATTATTTTAACCTCAAGGGTAGGAAAACAAAACCTAAACCGCCATTTAAAGTTTTCCCAGCTATTAACCAATAATCGTTTGTCCGAGTTGCCGAGTTATTTTTTTTAACACATATCATTCCAATCTAGATAAGTTGGTTAGCTTATCATAAATTTTAAAATGTCCCACTTCCTCCTTTAAAATCCATAAATTTTGCCCCTGATGTGGATAACTAAGCTTATGTGATAATTTACTGTGTATGTTAAGAATGAGTTGCTACAGATTTCTTTTTTTTTTAAAGGTTTTATTTATTTATTAGAGAGAGAGCATGAGAGGGGGGAGGGTCAGAGGGAGAAGCAGACTCCCTGCCGAGCAGGGAGCCCGATGTGGGACTCGATTCCGGGACTCCAGGATCATGACCTGAGCCGAAGGCAGTCGCTTAACCAACTGAGCCACCCAGGTGCCCCGAGTTGCTACAGATTTCTTGATTGAAATGAACAGATGGCAGATAATAGGATATAAGAAGAACATTCACAAGGGATAGTTCTGAAAAATCTATGGAAAGTACCCAGATTATTGAATCAAAAAAGCATAAAATTTATCCATAGATGCTGAGTTTTGGCGTGGATCACTTAACCAGCTTAGTGATTTGCTCTTGCTCACCATCCCGACAGTTTCCTAATTTAACTGTACGTAACTGAAACAATGTAGGCTAACTCAACAAGTATCAAAAACCTGCTGTGGTTTTAAAACTGCATGGAAAGTAATGTTAGAAAAAAAACACTCCCCACTGAGCCTCTGGAATATATATTTTGGCCCTATCTCTGATTTCTTAGAGGCATCTACTACATACACAATTTTTATCGGGTCTGTGATTTGAATCCCATTAAGAAAACTGCATGGTCAGCATAAAAAAATCTTAGCTATTCTGAGACCAATTCTCCAGCACCTTTCAGTTTCAGAAACAGCCTGAACTTGTAACTAGATGGGGAGGGAGATGGCTGGGATTCTGTCGGTGAAGAAGTAGCTGTGAGCATTTGCATGAGAAAAGCAGAGAAGACAGCCGCACTCAGCGACTGGTTTGCTACGTGGAGAAAGAACGTCTTACAGGTGAGGGATAATTGAAGTGCCAACATTTCGTGTTAGAGCTTTAGGATGAAAAAAAATAGTGTAAGGAGGAAGAGGGTGATAGGTTTAAACAAGAGGAACAGGAGGCATGGTAGAAATAGCACCAAGCTTCTGGAACAATTGACTTTTTCTCCAGCGTTACTGATTTTCCACCTGTCCAGACTTATCATCTCCTTTGGCTTCAAGCATAATGAAGGGTTCTTTGGCAGCCCCAGCTACTGAATTGCCTTTCTCTGTCATCTCTGAACCGCTATATCTAAAGTCAAGTAAATCATTTATTTGCCCATGTTAATATGTTGCTGATTGTCCTTTAGACTCAGTAGCAACCAGTCAGCAAGGTAGGTTCATGGTAATGTTAACTGATAATGATTGTTATTTCTACACCTGATCTCAGCCAAAACACCGAGAAGCGATGTTATTTCTATATATGGCCTTCTGTTCAAAATCAAACATTAAGGGATCCTGAAACTTAGTGAATTACGGATAAGTTTTACATAATGCTGATAATTTTTACATAATGCTAACTTAGAAGGACAGGAGGAGGAAGAGAAAGTGATGAAGATGGCCTCTTTTTACAACCACTTAGTTTCAACTTGACACACCACACTACCTACAACTAGCTGTCTCCATAAAATCTACAGCTCTAAAATCAGCACATCACAATAGCTGATGTTCCTAGGGAGAACTCTCATGCTTTTAGGGAAAATTAACATATGCCTTGTCTACCTCCATTTAATAAGATAGAGGATTGCAAAATACCTTGAAAGTACTTACATCACAAAAATAAAGTTAAAATTTGGATTGTGGAACTTAATGGATAATCTTCAATAATATGGAAAATCAGACACTCCAGAAACACTCACTTACTAAAGATTCCCTAATGGAAAATCTAAATGTCCAGACATTTTGAGGTGGTCCTTGTTTTCTAAAGAGAAAAGCCATTCAAAACCTGTGCACTGCCGAGCAGTTGGAGCACATCTGCTTTGCAGACATAGCAGACCCATCAGGTTATTTTTAAGGAAGACTGTATGAAGTTTCCATTCTTGCCTAAACTTTGTAATTACAACAAAGGGAGCTATCTGGAAACCATCTTGGGTGGAGAACAGTTAAATGAGTCAAGACTATCTGGCCCGGAGAAGAGAAAATATTGAGGAATACAATAAATATCTTCTCACCCATTGCCTGCAGGGTTTTGTTGAAAGGGAATTACAGTCGCTCTATTAACTACTGAGAAAAAAATCTGGCGAGATATAAGAAGGCAGATTTCAAGACAATAAAAGGAAAAACTGAGTACAATTGAAAAAATGGAATGAGCTAGCTGATAAAGTAACACGGAAGTATTCAGCCAGAGGGTGGAATTAGGTGTCACGAATATTGTAGAGGAAATTTCAAATTTCATATGATAGGAGAAGGCAAAGACCAAACTGGTTATTAGAATGCTGAAAATAGTTCTCCTATATAAATGCTCTTTATAGCTTCACGTCAATTTGTGGCCAACTGTTTATGATAACTCACCCATAATTCAGTTTGCAAGCAGTCTTTGCATAAGTAATAATTTGATTTATTTCTATAACACCTTTCAAGCTTTATTAATGCACACAATGAACAAATCCTCAAAAATACTTCATCCCTGAAGAATTCTAATAAGGATGATTACTTAATAATACCAGTACTACAAAGAAGACAACATTACCTCACATGTTATAATTAATGCCCACCACTGAGATATCATCAACACCATCACAACTATGTTTATAAAATGCAAACCTGTTAAACCACCAGCCAGACTGATCTTCTTCTGCACAGTTTCCTTCATAGTTGTCATTATCTCTGTCCCGTGTGCTGAATTTCATTCTTTGGTGACTACCCCACCATTGCACCTCAGGATGAAGATTCCCTGCAAGGGAGTCTCCAGCTGTTCCAGAATATTCTCCGATATTTAGCTCATAGGAATTCTAAAGGAAAAGAGGCAACTTCCACTATCATTTGTCACTCTAATGTGTTTAGTGTTAATGATTAATGGCAATGTTAATAATATGTTTAATAAACAAAAGAACAGGTCCTACTGTCTGTCTTTATTTCCACTGAATTTAGGGTTTATATTTTACACATTAATTCATGATGTTACTATTTTTTTTAAAGATTTTATTTATTTATTTATTTGAGAGACAGAATGAGAGAGAGAGAGAGAGAGCATGAGAGGGGGGGAGGGTCAGAGGGAGAAGCAGACTCCCCGCTGAGCAGGGAGCCCGATGCGGGACTCGATCCTGGGACTCCAGGATTATGACCTGAGCCGAAGGCAGTCGCTTAACCAACTGAGCCACCCAGGTGCCCTAATTCATGATGTTACTTATTTGAAAATTTGAGTACCTTTTCATCTCCAACTTTGAAAAGTTTATATTGTGCATAACGGCTATTTTTTTCAAAATCTGCAAGGTCGATTTTTAAAGTATAGTCTCCTGAAAAAAAAAAAACAAGCAAGAATTATAGGATATTCCTGATGTGTGAGATGACGTTGATTTATTGGTTTAAAAACAACTCATGATTCTATTTTACTTAAACCATTTCCTTCTGCCATGAGTCAGTTTTCAAAGAATAAACAGTGACTCCATTGTATTTACAACATGAACATTTTATTGTGTATTTTACTTGAAAATAGCTAGAGACACAATGTTGAAGGTGGAAATTTTCTACAGATCTATCATAGGTAAAAGCTAGTGCAATTTACTTGACAAAGAACAACAGAAAATAAGTCATTATTTAGTTAATAGATTAAGAAATCTAACAATGAGGGGCGCCTGGGTCGCTCAGTGGGTTAAGCATCTGACTCTTGATTTCAGCTCAGGTCATGATCTCGGGGTCATGAGATCAAGTCCTGCGTTGGGATCCACACTGGGTATGGAGCCTGCCTGGGATTTTCTCTCTCCCTCTCCCTTGTCCCTCCCCCTGCTCACACACATGCTCTGTCTCAATCTCTCTCTCTAGGAAAAAAAAAATCTAACAATGAAACAATAAATAGAAGTTTTAAGAAGTTTAAACATTTATCTTCTTTTTCTTACTTGCAGTAAGAATGTTGATTTTTTTTAAAGATTTTATTTATTTATTTGACATAGAGAGAGAGGGAACACAAGCAGGGGCAGAGGGAGAGGGAGAAGCAGGCTTCCCGCGGAGCAGGGAGCCTGATGCGGGACTCGATCCCAGGACCCTGGGACCATGACCTGAGCCGAAGGCAGCCGCCTAACCAGCTGAGCCACCCAGGCGCCCCAAGAATGTTGGTCTTAAAAAGTAAATAATAATTGAACTAGTTGGTATCCTCAAGTGATCTTCTTTTCTCCATTGTCCCATCACTTGTGAATCACAAAGACTATTCTTTTTTGAAAAACAGAACTATTATCAGGAACCAGAAAGTTATAAATCAAACTGTTAGATAATGTATGTTCTATCCTCCTACTTTGATAAATAAAACTTCACAATGACATATAAGACCGGGTTTGAATTTAGTATCTTAGTCTCCTTGGGGTTCCAAGCCGGAACATGGAGGCCCAGGGAGAGAGACCCTCTGGACCCCATCACACAGCTCTCACGTATGGTCTGCCTCCTCTTTTCCTATCCCTATCTCTAGCTCCGTCATGCACAGAAAGGGGCCTTGTCCGCATTTGTGCACATTCCAGGCTGTACATCCAAGCTCTGTTTATACCCACGCTAAAAGCTGTTGCTTTGCCTCCCCTCAGGCCTAGGGGTGTGCACACCAGCGGCACAATCTTCTTACGGGGGACAGATGAAAAGAGGCATAAGAGGCATGAACAGGTCCTGGAAGCAAGCTCAGGGCTCTTTGGACAGGGAATGCTGGATTGGTCCTTACTGAGTGGGGAGGAGTATGGGCTTCCGCTGGCTTTGGCGCTCTAGCCCCACAACCTCTTCCTCCCAAGGAGCTCTCTACTGTGGGATTCTGGGAGAGACCCCTCTAATCTTATCGAAAGGCAATAAAGTTTATTTGAGCCAAGATTGTGAAGTGGATGAGAACAGTAAGGTAGGCTATGTTAACTCTCCTAAAAAATACTTTACATTGTCAAAGAGATATGAAGTCAGACTCAATGTTTCAGGTAACCATCTTCATATCTTTATGGTCAATAAGTAAATAAAAATGCAATTACAGACCATTTCTAAAGTAACGTTATTGCAAAATTTCCAGTCAAAAATTGTGTAATGGGGACAAGGCTATTTTCAGAGGAAATTCACTAGCCTTAAGCTCTCACAATTACAGAATTGCAAGGGCATGGGTTTTCCTTGGGATGATGTGATATGTGGTTGTGAAGCCTGGAACTGACAAATACACTTTAGCTGTCATGACAGTAGGAGCCTGAACACCAATTAAAACATGAAGGGGAAGGAGATGTGTTGGCAACGTGCATCTGCGTAAATAAACATTTAATAATAATCTGACAAATAATTTTGAACTTTGTGTATTTAGAAGGAGCCAAGGGTTACTTCTTAGAGTTTTCATAGTTTGAATAAGAAACCAGATAAATATTTATGTGCAAAAAAAGCAGGTGTGATAAGTGTTATATATCTATCATAAAACACTCTCAAGTAGGAAAATAAATACATTGAAGGAAGGGAAATCTTATGTAAATTTAGAGAGCATTGATCACAAGAAGGACGAGCAAAGAAAGTATCAGGCTTAAAGGATTATCTATCCTCTCTAGCTATTATTCTGGTGTCTCAAAGATCCCTATAGTTATAATCCAACTTATGAATTATGAATATAGAAACACCAATCACTTTCCTTAACTTGGATGAAAGAAGCAAAACCTTGCTTTTATGTTTAATGCATTGCCAGTGGGATATAGCATGCCTTCCTGAGCGATACAATTGCCTTTTATAAAACATTCTGAATCAGATCTGAGTGGGATTGTCTGCATTCTCAGACTTACATTTGAGGCAAGGAAGGCAATGAGCTGGAATAAATGAACATGGGAAAGAGAAGCTTAGAAAATTCATCAAACTAATGATATTTTAGACAATTATTGAACCCTAGTAGAAGATACCCAGGCAGTACATAAGACACAGGGGAAATTGTACAGATGGCTTCAATCTGAAATGTGTCAATAAAATGGCTCAGTGGATGGATAGATACGTGGTTAAAATAATAAAAACAGTAAAATGTTAGTCTGGAATCTAGGGGTAGGTTGACTCTTCTTTTAGTTTCGCTGTATCTTTGAAATTTCTCAAAATAAAAGCTGAGGGGGATGGAGACAGGGACATTTATTATGGTATTTGATTGCAAAAACAACCCCAATGCCCCAGTTGTTTGTCTCAACTTTTGCAATACGACTTTGTAACTCCTTCCATTAAGTCCATTTCTCTCCCCTTGAAATGTGCTGGTCCAGTGACTTTTTTTTACCAGGAGAAGGCAGTGAAAATGACTATGTGCCAGTTCTAAGACTAGGTCTCAAGCAACTTTCGTACTTGCCCTGTCTTTTTTGGAACTCTGCCTGAGCTACAAGAACAAGTCCAGGCTGGCTACCTGGAAGACGAGAGACCGTATAGAGCAGAGCCCAGTCGTTCCATCTGAGGCCAACCTACAGCAGCCAGCCTCCCGCAAACCAGGAATTTGGTCACAGAGCCATGAGCAAGCCCAGCCGAGATCAGCAGCCCTGGTGAGCAAAACTGCCCCCACGCACAGCTTGTACATTTGTGAGCGATAATAAATGGTTCTGACTTTAAACCAGTAAATCTTGAAGTGGTTTGTTACATACTATTATCGTGGCAACAGATGGCTGACCCAGTATAGATATTTCGAGGAACTCGAGGCATTAAAAAAAGAAGGATGATGACATTCCATTTCCTTTCCGGAAATAGAAAATAAATATATGAGAAATCTCCCACCCCCAGGGAAGATCTAGTTTCTTTGCCTCTGGTCCTAGTTTTAAGTGGCCACATTGAATAAAGGGGATTATTGCCCCAAAGGGATCCTTGGCATCTGCACAACACAGCAGTTACTGAATTGGTTCCACTGCCTATGGTTTAGTGAAAAACATTTCATTTTATTTTATTTATTTATTTTTTGAAGACTTTATTTATTTATTCATGAGAGACAGAGGGAAAGAGAGAGAGAGAAGCAGAGGGAGAAGCAGCCTCCCAAGGAGCAGGGAGCCCGATGCGGGACTCGATCCCAGGACCCTGGGATCATGACCTGAGCCGAAGGCAGACGCTTAACCGACTGAGCCACCCAGGCGCCCTAGTGAAAAACATTTTAGTGTGTTTTTTTTTTTTAATTGTACTTCAAGTGAATTTGATAACAGGCAAACCTTACCTTGTATGGTCAGTAAGTGGAGATTTTTATTACCCAGCCAATATTCACCATTTTCCTGAACAAAATTTCCAAAGCCATTTTCATAGTCATTCCAGCCTCTATAAAATACAAAGTGAAAGCTGATTTTAGCAAAACCCAAAAGGACCTCTGTAGTAACCAAGGTGCCCACCCCTCCCAACTACCACCCCCACCCCCAACATTTTCTCAATTAGTAAATGCACTTTCAGTAGTCTTACTTAGAGAGTGAAATTCTAATTATAGACCTCAGGATATAATAAAAAAAGGCTTAACTTGTTATGAATCTCACACATGCTACTCCAAATAAATCCTTATGTCATAATTAGCACACCTGTTAAAGTTCTCACTGCCATCAGATCGTCTCTGAATTACAGTCCATCCTCCACCATCAGACATGTCACAGTAAACGGAGAATATTGCTGGGCTCTGGAGAGGTTTGATTTTGTAAAATCCACTGCGCTTATGCCCATCATTAAAAATCTCTGAACAGTCTGTTTGCAAAACAAGGTAATGTAACATTTGTTATATGTCTTCTGTCTCCCCCCCAACCCCTCACCCCACATGAGAGCCTCTGGATAAGATTACTCAAAGCTAGTGGAGACCGATAAACCCATGGTGCAGATAATCAGCTTTTTTAAATTGCACCTTGGACATCTTCCAGTAGATATTAGGAAAGTCTTGTTTCCTTTCCTAGTATTTAATTATCATCTGACTCCTTGAAATGATGAAAATAAAAGAGGTATTTGGTTTCTCATTTCTCATCTCTATGGAAAACAGTTTAAAAATCACATATGTTCAGTTAATTACAGTATATTTAATTGGAATTTATAACCTGATCTGACAGAATAGTAGAACTTATCTCTCCTAGGAAGCTAAAATGAAAGTAGAAATATAACCTCGAACAAATAATTTAATATGGGTTATCTTGACTTAGAGTATTATAAATCATTCTGAACATCTGGAGATTAATTCAAAATAGTAATCTTCTTGTTAGATTCTTATAACCTCCCAGTCTCAACAGATTTTTTTACTGGCCCACTGAAATTTCTAACAGTCCATGCATTCTTAGATGTTTTTGTTAAAAACTGCAAGCTTCTGCTATTCTTTTTATTTCTATGTTCTTCTTTGCCATGATATTTCTTTAACTATTGGGGCAAACATAGGCACCAATTTGTCACCAAAAAGTAATATCTATTTCTTAAATTATTTGAGGGTAGGATAAATTAATAGCCACTGGGTCTCATCTAGGCTGATACGTACACACTTAGAGAATATGGCAAGTATGGACTTCACTCTTGTTTTGAGGCCTAGGAAGCCGTTTAAAGGTTGGTTGAAGTAGTGGCCACAAGAAAGAGATGATCTGAAGAATACCTAGTTACAGACTTTTGAGTAAAAATCCTATAACTTAACATTATAGCTAACTTTCATTCTTAAAAAGAAATCCTTTTTTGGCAATTAAATAAGAAAAAAAGCATTACCGAAAATCAGTTCAGTGTTGTTCAAAAGCTTACATTTTGTGGTCAAGTAAGTTGTACAACACTTTTCATTAAAGTAAGCAGATTTTTAACCTTGTTAAGGAAGGAGTGCTTTGCTTCCATATAATCTCCTACCAAAGAACTGAATAGTAAAAACTCCAAAGATTCAGACTATTTTCCAAGCAAATATGGAAATGATTAGCTATAACATTTTCCTCTGGAAAACTTTGTGAATATAGCATTTGCAGCCAACATTTTCTATTTGTTTCTATTTTATGCCAACTGCAAGTTTGTGTTTTTAAAAATTTTTTCCTTCTTCCCAGAGGAAAAAACCAAACACAACTTAAATTCAGAGGAAAGCTTTCAACTTAAAAAAAAAAAAAAGCAAAATACACCCAACAAGTAAAAACAAACAAACGAAAAAAACATCAAAAAGCACTAGTAGCAAAATTGTTCATAAAAAATAAGTTAGAAATAAGAAGCCTGCCTTGGGCAAATGTAACTTATACTATGACAGCAGGAAGTTCAAGCAATGTAGGGTGTAAAACATTAACTAGGTATTTATAATGTTTTCAAAATGTTTCAACCCACTCAAGTCTCTGGAGAATAGGCAGGCAAGGGCAAGGTTAGAAAGCTCTGTGCTCATGGGAGTTTAAAAAACAAAAAGGGATTTTTGGATACTTATATAATACTAGAGTGAGGCCAAGATTTCCAGCCCTCTGACAAATACTGCACTAAACTGGATGAGGTGAATACTTTCTCTGATCATGGAGAAAGCAAGCCATGTTGGAAGGCTGAATGTTTAAGCTTCACAAAGTGACATGACAGCCTGCCAAATGGACTTCCCTCTTGTCCCAGAATGGTGGCTGAGCTCAAGGCTGAGAACCAAAGTCATTCTAAGCTCAAAGAAAGGCCAGCAGGAGCTCAGCGGCCACTCAGGGGCATGCTGGGAAATGCAAGAGCTCGCCCAGCTATAGTCATTCTCTGCCCCCAGGCAACATTAAGAAGGAAACTTAAAAGAAGAAAGGATGTTGGTCCCTTGGAGAGGGCAGGATTCTTGAGGGGTAGGGTGAATAGTTTTTGGTTTTCTTTTTTTTAAGTTTTCCCCTGTGAAAACAAGGGGGAGAGTATATAATAATGTGGATAGATGGCTGACATTCACTGAGTGCTTCTTTTGTCCTAAATGCTATTGTAATCATGTTACATGTGTTAACTCTTACAACAAAGAAACATTCTTATCATTCCCATTTTACAGATGAGGAATATGAGGGCCATAAAGGTTAAGTCACTTGCCCAAAGGCTACAGCTAGCAAGATGGGCAGTGGGAATTTGAAACCAGGCTTCAATGCTTCTACTGTATATGAAGAATATGACACAGATCTGTTAACTTCTGGGTTTTTATTTTTTAATGTTCTATCCAAAACAAGAGAATGTCTATCATCTATCCTATTATATGTGCTATAATGTTATAAGACAGACACATACACACACTATAATGGTTCGTCTAGACCCTGTCCACATGACTCTGCCATCCAACTCCTGCTCATACAGTCAGTCCTCCTCTGACCTTGGTATTTCCATTTCCTAGGAACTGGTTTCTGCCTTATTCCTTGGTGACTTCTTGTTTCCTGGGGTCCCCACCCAGCACTCCTGCCATAGGGATTGGAGTTTTAGCTCCTAACCCCCATTCTTCCCATGACTGGTTGCACAGTGCTTGTAACAGACACCCAGTCACCTGCCTCCTGACATGACTGGACACGTGAATCTGTGTTCACAACCTGCTCAGATCGTATCTGAATAGATAACCCTGGGTTTTGAGCTTACTCTGGAATTTGGAATAATGATACTTCTCTTACCTCCACAAGTTCCTTGACCTTGAGATTAGCTGTGTACCCCTTTTGGAATCACAGAAGGTGCCAGCAGGGTTGGCTTCTTCTGAACCCTCTGTCCTTTGGCTTACAGAGAGCTACCTTCTTGCTGTATCCTCATATGGTCTTTCCTCTGGTACCAGTGTCCCTGGTGTCTCTTCTGATAAGGATACTCAGATTGGTGGGGCCCATCCTAATGGCCTTATTTTAACTTAATCTCTTCTGTTAAGGCTCTATGTCCAAATGGTCATATTCATAGACATTAGAGGTTAGAGCTTCAACATATGAATGGGGAGGGTATGACTCAGCCCGAAAGACAAAGTCATCTATCAAATGGTCATTTGGCCATTCTGGTTACCCCCTTCTCTGAATCAACCCTCTTATCAGCAATGATTGGCCTAATGAACTTACTGAGATCCTACTTTGACATCTGTACCTTAAGTTTTCCACAGTCTCAGGATAGGTAGCTAAAGCCTGCTACGTGGATAACTGACCACATGATAATTAGGCCCCAAATGTCATCGAATGAAAAGGGTATTGAATTGCCACAATACCCTCCCTCCTACCTGAAAAGAAGCAAAGCCTTCTACTAGGTGACCTCAGCCTGTGAGAAGAAATTTGGGGAGAAGCCTGACCTGATTCTGGTCTTGAACAATCTCATCCACATCCATCAGCAAAAGCACAAACCCTTTTCAGTCCTGTAGGGGTTCTCATGTAATTGCAGCCTAAATTCTCATTTAATCGGAGTGGAACCTAGGCACTATATGTAGACAGTTTCCCAGGGGTCACTGCCTTTCTGCACATTTTGTAAGCAGAGTTCATGTTCTGGACTAATTTTTTCAGGGATGTTTGTATAGTAAACAGCCTTGGAAGATGACAGGTTAGTTTCTGTCCACTTTCATAACGATAATGTCTCTTGCAAAGGAGAAAAAACTGGGCCAATTTGCTTGTAACCCATAATAAATAAAAGATTGATGTTTCCTAAGCTCAGCGTTCCTCAGCTGTGACACAGCCCACTGCCTGCACATTCTCCACCTGGATTACTCCATTTTGCTCCTTTAGTACTTGCAAGCAAGGGGTATCGGTACAAACATGAAGACTCCTGACCCGGGAGTCTTCTTCTGACGGCATCCGTGAAACGGTGGCAGGCTAACTTGTTAGGCTGCAAAGAGAGTAAAACCTCAGACCCTTCATGGCGCTTTTATTGGCTTCGGCATTTTACAAGGTCACCAGGTGATTCCAGCGGCTAGCCCCGGCTCAGAATCACAGTCTTCAAGGAATTTCTACTGATTTTGCTTTTTGTTCGATTGCTTTCCTGAGCCTTCTTTCACTGTCTTGCCTAATCATCACTGTGGTTCTCTCCTTAGGTTCTAGTTCCTGGTTCTTTGCCCCCAAGATTGCCTCAGATGGTGCCTTTGTTTCCCAAGCCTATTTGTGCCAGAGCTGGCTTTGGTTCCGCTTTGTTCCATGCCGCAGAGCCATGGGCCACCCTCACGCTACCTCCAATCCCTCTACCACAGGCCTCCTTCCAATCCCTAAACAGGGGAGGGGCAGTTGGACTCCAAGAATCAAGGGTAAGGGATCACATAGTCAGACAACAGCGTGTCAGGAGCCCCTAGACAATAGTCTGACCAGAAAGAGATTAGGTTCTCGGTAAAGAAAGAAGGAAGCATTTTGTTGCAGCCTAGTTTCTAAAATTCTCACAATCCTTATATCCTACACTGATGAGTATATTTAGAAACACAAAATAAAGATGTCTCTATTCTATCAGCCTGGAATCTCTTCAGCCTTTACAGTTTTTCAGTTACAGTCAGATCTATTTTGCAACTTATATTTGCTTATCTAGCGCTTCCTGTCTCTATGTACTCCCTTGCTTTCATTCATAAATGTGAGGCTCTATTATATTCCAGGTACTCAAATAGGCAAGAGGGAAGAAAGAATGATGAAACATCATCCCAGACCTTTCAAAGTGCCTGGTTAATTGATCAGGACAGATGCATAGACAAAGAAATTATAATACATCATGGGAGACGCTAGAGCAGACATAGGAACACAGTGCTCTAGATGGCATCCTCATTTCTGACAACTGTGGTTTGTTTTCTTTAAAAGATGCCTGGAGGAAGGCGAGTGAATAGTTTTCTATAAGGAATAATGCTATGTGCAGTGATAAGCGCAATGTGTTGACAGTCGAAGATCATTTAGTTTCCGGGTGGAAACACTGACCCAATCAAAAGGAAAATTACCAAACCATAAAATATACATGTAAACACAACTCTTGTATTTCCCTAAATAATTGTGATCCTTTTTTTTCTAAAGGTTTTATTTATTTATTCGTGAGAGACAGAGGGAGAGAGAGAGAGAGAAAGAGAGAGAGAGAAGCAGGCTCCCAAGAAGCAGGGAGCCCGACGTGGGGCTCGATCCCAGGACCCTGGGATCATGACCTGAGCCGAAGGCAGATGCTTAACGACTGAGCCACCCAGGCGCCCTGTGATCCTTTTTCTTTTCCTGTCCTTTTATTCTATTACCTTATTTACTACCTTAAAGCACATAAGGGTTTCAGAGGGGAAAACTGTATAAATGTAACAAGAAATGACATACAAATAAAAACAAAACTCAACTGTAACATTTCACAAGTATCATCTGTTATTTACACACCAGTATGTAAACAAGCTATTGTCTTTGATCTCTCATTAAACTATAGAAGCTCTGAGATATTTAGCATTGGTATTAAATATCCCCTGCAGAGATTAGAGAGAGAAAAGGATAAAATGTGGTAGAAGACATTTAAATTTGGTATAATGTTTCATGTTGCTTGTTATTGGAATAGGAAAACTCTTTAGCAAAATCCGAAGTACCAAATATTGAGCACTCCCATTGCACATGGGTGTATATTATAAGTTCCTAAAGCCCATAAGAAAAATAGGTTCTGACCTGCATATTGCCTCTTGCCTCCAAGGTCAATGACATTATTCTCCTCTCCTTTATCAAGGAACTGGATTTCCTTCTCATGCAAAAGCTGTGTGATCTTGACCTGTAGCTGCTTGACCCGCGTCTCAAGCAAGTGCACCTGGGCTCTGAGCCGAGCCTGCTCCTGGAGACAGTTCTCAAGAGCCTGCAAAGTGATGTGCATCTCATTCTCACTGGGAAACAAAAGCTCCTGACAAGTTGGACAAATTAATGATTCAATTTTGTCCCTGCCCCGCATCGGGCTCCCTGCTTGGCGGGAAGCCTGCTTCTCCCTCTCCCACTCCCCCTGCTTGTGTTCCCTCTCTCGCTGTGTCTCTCTCTGCCAAATAAATAAAATCTTTAAAAAAAAAATCTGTCCCCAACTCCCATTTCCGAATATTATTCTAACCAGAAAGTGGTTTGAAAACTCTGGTACTATTTGTTGTTTGAAGAGTAAGTAATTATGGCTACGGTGAAGTGCTTGAACTAAAAAATTATATATTAATATAAAATAATCTGAATGACTAAGCTAAGAGCCTTAAAGTCGTCTCATTCGATCTTCATAATGACTCCAGGAGGGAGGAATTGTCTCAACTCTAGTGAGGCAACTTGCTCAGGGATTTTCCAGCAAGTAGGAGGAGTCAGGATTCAAATCCAGTTAGAGATCCCTACTCCCAGTCTCTTCGTGATACCACCAAATGCTTTCCTGACAGTAAAGTTTTAATGGCATCATTGCACATTGTTAGTGTGTCAATCCCTAAAATAAACAAGGCTTTGGAATGACCTTCTGGTATTAATGTCTTAAAAATCTAATGGAATACTTATAATCTGATGACATGTGTTCACCTTTATAAGGGATGCAGGTTTAGACTCTCATATCCCTGAATATCTCACCCACTTACCTGTGCAAATTCTAGTGAAGTCACTTTAACTTTTTGCTTATTGTTTTCTTTTTCCCTCAATTACTTCAGAAAGGGATGGGAGGAGGCTGAGTTTTCTAGTTAGGTCATTTATCTTCTCTAAAAGGGCAAAAAACCCAAGAATATTGGATGCAAGAGAATCTGTCAGCTCCTTTCTAAGCTGGCGTCTGATAACCTTTCAAAGAGAAAGGAAACATGGTAGGGAATCAACTGGGAAGATGAGCTGCAGGGTTGGGGCTTCTGGAAGAGGTATTGAGACTAGAAGCTTCAATAAAGGCTTTGAGTACTAGTTACTGGAAGTAGAGTTGGGGAAAAAAAGGACAAAAGACTCATTTTTGCCATTTTTCCACTTTTACCTTGACATCTGTATTTGCAAATTACGTCATGATCTCCCATGATAAGTGTAAATGTTCACTTCTGAGAAATTCTGAATTTTCATGAGTGATTGCTTTACACTACTACTTTATACACATCATTTCCTAAAACAGCCATCAGACAGATTTCTCAATTTACAATTGCCTTTCGGTTCCTATCTTTATGTACTGCCTTATATTCATTCCATAAATAGGAGGACCTGCTACATTCCAGGCCCTCTGCTAGGTGGTCAGAACAGCACAGATAGACACCCTATTTGGGACAAAGAGCTACACTCCCTTCCTATGAAGACCTGTACTGTGAACACAGAAATTCAGCCACCAAACTGGAAGTCCCATAGCAAGAGAATGGGGAAGTGGTGGTCCAGGTCTTCTCCTATTTCCAAGACCGAGTCACTGAGTCTCCCCTGGCTATTGCTCGAGGACCATTTCTTATTTGCTCTTGGTGCTCTCTCCTCGACACTCCTTGGTTTTTCTACTCTGAATTATTTGCTTAGCTCTCTGATTCCCACCAGTCTGAAAAATGAACAGCAAGAACATTTCATGGTGTCTGGAATCCTGTGCTCCTTTCTAATAGGTGGAAATTGGTTGTGATAGTGTTAAATATAGTTAAATATAGTGTTAAATATAGTTAAATATAAATTGCAGCGTGCGATTTAAAAATAGCTGAAAGTACAGGGCAAGTATCTTCAATCATTATGAGACCACATGCACAGTTTTAGTGAGCTTATTTAAAATTTAGGAGTTTCCACTGTCCCAGAACTTTGAATAAATGAGTACTTTCTCCCTTTTATTTATTTATGAATGGAGGAAGGCATGAGTTCATTGTAATTACTTTCAAATTATTTGTTCAGTTTACACTAACAGTGTTCAATACTGGAAAACTCAATATTGGGAAAGCCCCTAGGTCAATTTTAATTACCATGGATAGTTTTAAGTTTCTAACATTATTTAACTACCCAAATAGCCCCCAGTAAATTCGAAAAGATTTTACTTATTTATTGTGAAGACTAGTTTTTACTTTGAGAAGGAAAAATTGCATCACTTGTAAGTGCCTATTATATGGCAGGTGCTTCCACAAACCTTTTTCATATTTTTCCCTTAGTTATTTTTTTCAGCAACAAATTACTAAAGGTTTTCTGCAAAATAAAAGAAAATTCAGGTCAAAGCAGGTATTATAAATACATAAATAAATGAGCTTACCCAGCTTTCCCTGCACATTACCAGAATGGTGGTGACAAGTATGAAACTGAACATCTTTGCCATTTTTCCCACTGAAACAACTACAAGAACAAAAGAAATTTCATAAACTTCTTTACTGTGAATTTTTCACGAGATGAGTGTTGAGTTCAGGTTCAACGTGATCCAGGATGTTGGATGCAGCTCCATCTCTAGTCTGAAGGTCTTCAAGGAAATTCTCCTGGATTTTCCCATGCTTCCCTCACACAGAATGATGCTCTCTGTTACCTTAAGTAGGATTGAACCTGTTCAATTGCAGAAATAAAGGAACTCTGCCTCTCCTTGAGTGTCCTAATGGTAATGTGCTGCTTGTGCAGACAAAGCAAAGGCTCTGTAAAAACAAAGACCTGGCTCCATGTTTTGGCTGAGCCACTTCCCAGTTGTGTGCCCTCAGGCAACCTACTAAAATGCTCCTGATTTGTAAATGGAAATCATAATTTCTACTTGACAGGACTGTGGCAATTTTGACCTAATGCTTTTAGATACCCTGTCATAGGATAAGTGCCTAAAGAACAATAACTCATTTTGTATATGGAAGACTGCTTTTATTTTTAAAAGAAGAAAGAAAAAAATGACAACTATAGGATGTGATATGCATTGTTTTTCTTGATGTCTTAATGGATAGGCAAGCTACCAAGGTGATATAAATCTTTAAGCTCTGTTTAAAGTCGTAGAGGAAAACTCACTTTCCCACTTCTTAAGATTATTTTTATTTTTTTATTATTATTTTTAAAGATTTTATTTATTTATTCATGAAAGACAGAGAGAGAGAGAGAGAGGCAGAGGGAGAAGCAGGCCTCCTGCAGAGCAGGGAGCCCGATGCGGGACTCGATCCCAGGACCCTGGGATCATGACCTGAGCGGAAGGCAGACGCTTAACCATCTGAGCCACTCAGGCGCCCTTAAGATTGTTTTTAAAATCACTCCTGAGGGGCGCCTGGGTGGCTCAGTCGGTTAAGAGTCTGACTCTTGATTTCAGCTCAGGTCACGATCTCAGGGTCGTGAGATCAGGCCCCATGTTTGGGTTCTGCGCTGAGTGTGGAGCCTGCTGGAGAGTCTCTCTTTCCCTCCCCTCCCCTCAACGCTCCCCCCTACCCTCCTGCCCTGCTTGTGCACATGCTCTCTTTCTCTCAAAATAAAATAAAATGAAATCACTCTTGAAGTAATGAGTCTTGATGAAAAATTTTTTTCATCCTCAGATAACTTCTGTGTGCTGCCAGAGATGATTTTTCATAAATTTTAGAAGCTAAGAGGCCTAGAAGAGCAGACTATTTGCATAATCTTCAAACAAATTTTATACCTATGGTTTCCAGAAAAGAACTGGAATCAACTGAATTATTTGTTAGCCTATTTTTATTCTCATAGAACCTGTGACCACTAGGTCTTTTCAGGTATCTCTTTCTCAATTTTTATAAATGTTTTTTTTAAAGATTTTATTTACTTATTTGAGAGAGAGAGAGAGAATGAGAGATAGAGAGCACGAGAGGGAAGAGGGTCAGAGGGAGAAGCAGACTCCCCGCCGAGCAGGGAGCCCGATGTGGGACTCGATCCCGGGACTCCAGGATCATGACCTGAGCCGAAGGCAGTCGCTTAACCAACTGAGCCACCCAGGGGCCCAGGTACATGGAATTTTTAAAACATTGTTGATTCCAATGTTCAGCAAAGTTTGGGAAGCAATGATTTAAGGACTTAATATACAAAAATTTTTAAGTCTATTATAACAAAGTAGTTAGTTCTCAGTCCTTCTGAGGCCAACAAAAACAGTTACAGAATGGGAAAGACACTTAAATTCAGTGACAAATACCGTACATGGCCACCTTGGGAAGTACTGTGAAATAGAATGTGAGTTTTTAGAGTATGTGAAATTTATGCATTACAGAGAGTAATAAAGAGTCTGCTACATATAACTATATAATTTTACTTGACTGACTTTTATTTGTTTACTACGAGTCTAGAACTGTGCTGTGTATTTTATAAGCATCTACTTTAATTCTCAAATAACTAAGGCAAGTACTATTATCCTCATCCTACAAATGAATAGATCAGAGAGGTTAAGTCATTTCCCTAAGATCACACAGCTGGTTTATGGAAGACCCAGCAATTGAGCTGAGGGCTTTCCACCTTGACAGCCCATGCCCTTAACCTGAACTCCACACGGCCTGCCTCGTGATCCACATATGACTGAAACACACAGGGAAACAGGCTGCACGGACAAATGGGGGCCCTCCTGCTTGGCCTTCTCCTGTAAACATCGGCCTCACTCATGAACATGGCTGTGACTCATTTGTTCCTGAGTCATGCACTTCTCCAAAGGAACATCAGGTGAATCTGTCAGGAGAGGAGACAGCTGCATTGAAGCAGAGGCAAACCGAGGGAACGGCCACGTTAGCAAGCCTTTACTGATTATCAGCTATCTGCTCAGCACTGTGCTACACGCTGTGGAAGAATCAACATGGCGGCCTCGGCGAGGCAGCGTTTCAAGCAAGAAATGAAAATAACTATGAAAATGGAAATTAAGGACAATATAAATTAAGTAGACGTGAAACCATATGTAATTACATATAAAAACTGAACTTTCCCAGACCACCCCTCAAGACAAAATTAATTACTTCCTCCACTGTGACCCCCCCCCCATACTATATTTACAGACCAAAATAGCAGTTATCCACTCAATAAACATTGTTTGGATGCCTGCTCTGTTCCAGGCACTGGGCCAAGCAATAGAATTATCAAGTGGTCAGTTTTTTGCATGTCTTTCTCTAACTGCTTAGAATAAGATTTTTGAAGGCAAAGGTCCCACCTTGCTAATTGTTGTATCCCCAGCATCTATCTAATTTGTTACAGCGATGCCGATAAAAGGTTAGTTGTATCTGAAGAAAATTTTCCCCGGGGAAGGAAAATTCTTTCTCAGAGGGGAAAATGTCCTTTCCTTGCCATAAAACTAGTCTGTTTGCAGTGGTAATACTTCCTCCTTCCTTCTCTATGTTTATCCTGGTCAAGGGGAAAACAATGGGCTAAGTGTATTTTTGAAAGTAAGCATTAGGAAGGGGGTCGAGGCTTTTGTTTGGATTGAACACGTGCATTTATTTTCTCTTTCTCACAAAACCCCACTAGAAAAGGAGTAAAGAAAAATGGAGAAGACATGAATTGACAAGGTCAAAGAGAAAGGGAGGGGAGAACACACCTGGCATGCAATGTCAACATATTTGTAGAATGTAAAAGAAGCATGTTGGGGAGCTGGCAGAGCTGCTAAAACTGGGGAACCAGCAGCAGCAAAGGGGACCATCACAAGAAGCAGACTAAGTTGCCCTGCAATGCCCCGGCTGGGTGCAGGGCTGAAGGCATCAGCTGGCTTCAAAGGCAGGGTTGGAGGCAATGGGCTGACACTCAGATTCTCACCGAAACCTTGAGCAGCCCATGAATACTGTTTCTCTCACCCCATCAGACAACAAGGCTTACTTTCCACTAAGGTTGAACCAAAGAGGCTCTGGGTAGCATGACCACAGGCACAAGGGAGGTCAGGGGAGAGTACTTTGTTCTACAGTTGAAACACACACCCACCTACACACACACACACACACACACACACACATCCCACTAGGATACTTCTGTCCTGGCAGCCAGGCAGCCCTCTCTCTACTCCTCCCACCACTTTCCAGGCCAGAGAGCATGGGATTCCTCTCTGGAGGAATGAATAGGCTCGCAGAAAAGATCATCAGAGGCTTACATTGGGTGATTCTCCAACAGAAACGCCTTGTTCTTGCCTGATCCTTCTCCAAAGAAGCCCACCAGTTGGCAAGCCTCATTCGTGCACACAAGAGAGGTATAGGCTTAAATTTTGCGCGTTTCTTTCAAAGGAGTTGTCTCTGAAGGGAGGTATATATTAAGTTTCTTTCTGTATCTGCATTTACCTAACAGTCTAAAGAGAAACACTTAAAGCGGTGTCTGGGTGGCTCAGTCAGTTAAGCATCCAACTCTTGATTTCGGCTCAGGTCATGATCTCAGGGTCATGAGATCAAGCCCTGCATCCAGCTCTGCACCGAGTGTGGAGCCTGCTTAAGATTCTGTCTCTCTCGGGTGGCTCAGATGGTTAAGCGTCTGCCTTCGGCTCAGGTCATGATCCCAGGGTCCTGGGATCGAGTCCTGCATCGGGCTCCCTGCTAGGTGGGGAGCCTGCTTCTGCCTCTCTCTCTGCCTCTAATGGAGAAATAAATTAAACATTAAAAAAAAAAGATTCTGTCTCCCTCTACCCTCTCCACTCCCTGCCCCCTGTTCATTTTCTCTCTCAAATTAAAAAAAGACAGAGACGGAGAGAAACAATAGCAATCAATTTACCATGAAGATGTATAATTTACCTGTTATAACTTAATCCTTTCATCTAACATTGTAAACAAAATAACCAAAATGTAGAAAAAGAAGTGGAGTGCTGTGTAAATCACACAGCTAAATGGGCAAAGAAGTCAGACAAAATACAAGAACACATTAAATAACTCATTGCAGAAAAGCTCTCCTAAGCACTTGGAGATCTAGTTTCTTCAGTGAGTCATCCTTTCATACATTCATGTGATATCATTTATAGCAACTTAGTTTAGGAAAATGGATATTTTACTCTGTGATCTTAGTAACCATTTAAAATTCAAACATGGGGTGCCTGCTTAATGCCAGGTGCTATGTACACTAGATGCTTTTATATATAGCTTATATTAAATATATTGAATTACATTTAAAATATTAGCTTATATTGGGGTGCCTGGATAGCTCAGCTGGTTAAGTGTTCGACTCTTGATTTCGGGTCAGGTCATGGTCTCAGGGTGGTGATATTGAGCCCCATATGGCACCGCACTGGGTGTCAAGTCTGCTTAAGATTCTCTCCCTAATAATTCATCGGAAACAAGACTGATCTTTCCTAAGAAAAGCTGAGATGGTGAGTGGTGCTCTCTCAAGGTCATCAAAAAGGAAAAGCTCTCTTTGCAAGACTTGAGCTTGTCTTTGTTGTTTATAAAATATATGTAGTATTTCTGTACTTGAATCATAAATACTTCAAG